ATCAAATAGGGTTGCCAGATCTAACAAATAAAAATTCAGAATTTGAATTCCAGGTGAACAATGAAAAAGTTCTTAGTATTAGTTATGTTTGGCTTAACGTTAGTATGTCCCAGATAGTTCATGGGATATATTTACACTAAAAAATTCATTGTTTACCTGAAATTCAAATTAAATGGACATCCTGTATTTAATCTGGCAACTGTTTCATCAGATTGGGGGTCAAGTGTCTCTCCATGCCTCTCCTGTCGCTTCCCTGTGATGGAATAGGCTACAGCTGCTGGTGAAACCAGCTCAAAGAGGGTTTGTGTTTTTCGGACAGAGCCACCTGCTGCCCCTGAGCTCATTTGGCAGCCTTCACTTCACTGGGATGGACTTGGCTTGTGTTCATATTGGTTCTCTTGCTGGCTCTCTGTGCTTTTCTTCATCTGTCTGTCTGTCTCTCTTTCTCTCGTGCTTTCTTTTATGCCGTTGTTCTTGTGGGGATTCTTAAAGGCAGGAACTGGCAGAGTGATGCGGGTGGGCCAAGGAAAAAGCATGTTCCTAGCAGTCCAGAGGGCTGGCCTTACAGTGTCTGCAGGGAAGAGCTGCAGTAGGGGCCGAGGATGGCGCAGGGGGCCCCGGTAGCTGGCTGTGCATCATGAAAAGGATAACATTTGCCTTGGAGAATGCACCTCCCAGGGCTGGGCCAGGAGCGTTCATGGGTCTGGTTTGCTTGGGGGTTGGAGTCCAGCGTGTTGCTGGCTTGAAGGAAACTGATACCACTTGGTCTCTGATGCTGACAGAGGGGGCCGCAGCCATGGACTTCAGCCTGTCTTGAGGGGCAGACAGTTGGAGCAATCAAAGACCTTCTGGAGACTTGGACGTGGCATCCTCCTAACTGGCCCCGTTTGGCCCTCTCTCTTGCCAAGGCTGCTTTGACGCTGAGAACGGAGAAACGCAGGGTTCCAGAAGGCCTACCACGGCCCTTCCCTTTCCCTGCCCCTCTCCTGGCTGCTGGGCCCGGGCCTACCTCCTCTCTTCCCTGTGCTCTGAACGGAGCCGGCGGGCCGGCTTACAGGAAGTAGGCCATGGTTTTGAGGGGTCTGGCAAAGGAGCCTCGTGCATGTTGCCTGGCTTCGGGGGCCTGTATTCCTCTTCCTGTGTCCTCAGAGTGACATGAAGAGTAACAGTGGGGTAGGGAGGCCATCGTGCACCTGGGGCCAGCAGGGTGACTCTGGAGCCTCGTGGTGAGGGACAGGGTGAGGGGGGGCCGTCTTTCCAGGTTGCCTTGAATGGGATGCAGACCCACCTAACCAGGTTGAACAGGTATTTCTTCTTCTCTACTGGACACAAGAAACACTGTTCCCTGTTTGCACTTGCCGGTGCTTTGCAGGCACAGTGCTGGGGACAAGATGTCTGGATAGAGAAGGAAGATGAGGTGACTTCTCCTCTAAGTGCCCCAGCTATCTAACGTAGCCCCGTGAGGGAGATGGGCAGGCATGGCTCACCCAATTTGATAACTGGGGACACAGCTCAGAGCCATGACAGGCCTGCCCAAGGTCACTCAGCGGTGAGCGATAGAGAATGGCCATGGGACAGATACTCTCTCATCTCCCAGCAGCTGGATGTGCCCTTCCCCCCACCCTCACTTGGGGCTCCTTCACCTTCTAGTTTCTGGCTTCCTTTTCTCTCATCTCTTGTCCAGTGGCCTTGTCTCTCTTCGTGGACAGTCACATTCTCCTTGCTCATGCTTTGCACCTCCTCCAGCCTGTGGGGCCCAGTGACATTTTGAGAGGCCTCGTGGATGGTGGGGCCAGGCAAGATCCTCAAGGTTCCCGGTGTCAGTGAGTGGAGAACTCACCTCGCAGAAGGGAAGGAGGCCCCGTGTGCCCACAGGGAGTGGAACTGCCTGGGAGGCTCCCCTCAGGTCTGCTGCAGTGGGCATTGTGCTTCTCTTCAAGCCCTGGGTCCTGGCCTGGTGGCCATTCTGCCCTGACTCCCTGAGCTGGGATTTCCCTTCTGACATTGCACTGACACGCAGACCCTTCCCATCCTTTGTCAGTCACGTGGCAGGAGCTCAATACGTGTTTAGAGGAAGGATGAGGAAATCAGTAAAGTCTGCCACTCTGGGAACATACATTCCAGTTGGAGAGACCAAATAGGGCGGTCAGTGAATCTCTCTACAGTTCAGTATGAATTGCATGGTCCAGACTCTCTGTGTAGCTGGACTATGGAGATGGGAGAAATCCACACAGCGGGGTGCTCAGAAAGGGCTTCAGGGGGAAGGGCTGCAGGTGGGCCTTGGGGAGGCGCTGAGAGGGAGTCAGGCCTTAGTGTGATCAAGTGGCATAGGAATGCACTCCTGTATTTGGGCTAAGAGATGACTTGAACGCCTTTGGTGGGGAGGAGATGGAAACTAGGGGCTTGGCTTGTTATCCAGTAGCTTCCTTGCTCACACCCCGCAGGAGCTCCGTTCTGGCTTTATGCTGCCCACCTGCAGCGCTCCTTAGCGTTGGCCCTGACTATGTGCCCTGGGCTCCTTCTGGAGGGAGGCACTTGGCCAAAGCGACCAGTGAAGTCCCTGAAGGGGCTGTAAGAGTTTCCTGTGGCCGCTGTCACAAAGTCCCACAAGCTGGGAGGCTTAAAAGAGAAATTTAATCTCTCACAGTTCTGGAGGCCAGTAGCCTAAATCAAGGTGTCGGCAGGACACCCTGCCCTCGAAGGCTCCAAGGAAGAATGTGTTCCACGCCTCTCTCTTAGCTGCTTGTGTTGCCTGCAATCCTTGGCCTTCTGGGCTTGCAGGTGTGTCCCTCCAGTCTCTGCCTCCGTCTTCACATGTGTTCTCACTATGTCTGTGTCCCTTTCCCCCTTCTTATAAGGACAGCCGTCATTGGCTTGAGGGCCCACCCTCATCCACTCTGCCCTCACCTCAGTCGCACCTGCAAGGAGCTCATTCCGAAGTAAGGTCCCATCACTGGTACTGGGAGTCAGGATGCACTTCAGCCCACAGCATGTGCCTAGAGCTGTTGTTTCACTTGCCTCCAAATCCCCTCTACCTCGTAAAGTCCCTGCCGCCCCCCTCAAGTCTCTGGGGGACTGGGGTGTGGGCAGAGGCCACCCCAGTCACACTGTCAGAGCGCCTTCGTGCACGTGCAGGGCACACGGTAGGACAGACGCTCTTGCCGTTCAAGACCAGGTCTTACTCTGCAGGGGCTGAAGCCGTGGGTAGAAATGCTGCTTCTCTCTGTTTCGGGGCTGGGTGGTGAGGAGTAGAGGGTGTCTTTCTGGGCAGGAGTGAGAGGGAAGACAACTGCAGATTTCCTTTTCTCAGGGATGCAGGATGTTGGCTGTGGAAGGACCCTTCAAGGGCTTCTGCGTGGGAGCAGTGAGACCGGCTGGAAAGGGCCCCCACCCTGTCCTTAGTTCTGGGGCAGAGCCTGGCCCCCCTGCTCAGGAGCTCTGTGATCTTGGGCAAGTAGCTTCTCTGAGTCTCAGCTTCCTCCTTTGTAACATGGGATAGTAACAACAATTGCTTGTCATATCTCAAAGAGTTCGGATCTCAGTGTTTGTGAGGATTGAATGATAAATGGATGAATGAGGAAGTATCTTTTCTTAAATCATTTTTTTATGGTGGTAAATTATACATTACATAAAGCTTCCCACTTTAACTATTTTTGAGTGTGCAGCTCAGTGGCATTAAATATATTCACGTTGTTGTGCAGCCAACAACACCATCCCTCTACGGAACTTGTTCATCTGCCCAGACTGTGAAAATGTCTTTTACGAAGAGCACTTTCTATTCACTTGATAAATAAGGAAACTGAGTCCCAGAGATGTAAGGGCTTGCCCGAGTCACTCCGTGAATTAGGGGTACAGCTGAAGTGAGAACCCTGGTCCCCGGCCAGTTAGTTTAGTGCTCATCTTCTGTCTCCCAAACCTCTGTGTGAGGCATCCTTGGGTTGAATTCCTCTGAAGAGCTTCCTCTCCCCCAAACCGCACCCCTCAGGACAAACCAGAATGTGTCCCGTGGTGGGACACACACAGCTATCTGCTCTGAGGGTGTTCCTCTCAACCTCTTGTCTCTACCCACTCCTTTCTCAGATGGGACAGAGCTCCAGTGGAGGACCAGGGACGCTGAATTTGGGGCACCCTTTGGGATGGCTTCGTGAGGTACCTTATGGTGTGGAGAGAGTGGGGGCAGGGAGTCAAGGGCTGGGTTCTGGCCCCTCCTGTAGCTACCACAGCCTTCTCAATGAGCACCTATTTGTTGAGGTCCTTCTGTGTGCCCATCATTGGGAAAATACCAGTGAGCAAGACCTTATTCCTCCCTGCTTGGAGCTGCTATGAGACACAAATGGTATGATACATGAGGACCCCATGGCAAAGGGCACTCACCTATAGGAAGTGATGACAGGGCGTGGGGGGAGGTGAGATGGCCATCCCCACCCTGATGGGAGCCGGGTGCTGGGGAAGGTTAGACTTGGGTGCCCTGGGCTCCGTGGGACCTTCCACATCAGGTGCTGGAGACAGACCCGGGTCAGAGAGCGTCTGCCTTCAGGCGGCTCATGGTCAAGGAGGGAGGTGCCCAGGTGGTTATGAAGCAGTATCATGGGTGCCAACAGAGGGGAAGGGGTGACGGCAGGTGATGTCACCAGGGGAAGAAAAGAAAGGGCTGATTCTGCCCTCGTGGGACAGGGAAGCAGGGGGAGGGCCAGCAGGGGAGGCTTTGCTCTGACCCGATTCAGAAGAGGCCAGTCAAGAAAGCCATGGGTGTCTCACCTTAGGGGGGTTCTTTTTTTTTTTTAACCTGCCTGGGGGCTGGCTCCCATTACCCTCAGATAGATCCTATGAGGTGGCACATTTTGCAGGGAGGAAGAGTGATGTGTTGAAGGCCTTGGGCAGGAGTGTGGCCAAGCAGAGAGCAGAGCCCACTTTCCTGCCTTGGTCCCGGGCATTCCTGGCAAACCCACCCCAGGTTCTCTCCGTGTTCCTCTGACTGAAAGGTCCAGCCTGAGCCCGCCATGCCTCAGCTGTGTCCCTGGCTGTCCAGGAAGTCCTGCCCTCAAGGAGCTCCCAGCCTGAAGCCCCTCAAAGCCTTGGGTCCCCCTGTATTTGTCCTCTCCATCTTCCTAGCTTCTTCCCACCCTGGGGACCTGCGGGGAGGAGCCGCCCTGTCGCAGACAGGGTGGGAAGACAGCCAGACTAACCTGTTCTCTCCGTTGGGTCTTCTCCTGACACCAGGTCCCGGCTGGCTGACTTCCACGCCAATTGTCGTGCCTCCTACCAGACGCTCACCAGCTGCCCTGCCGACAATTACCAGGCGTGTCTGGGCTCGTACGCTGGCATGATTGGTAAGCCGCCCCCGTGCACCTGGGCTCGGGGGGCCTCCTGGCTGCCTGCTCCCTGCTCCCCGCGGGCAGGGCACCCGGCTCAGGGCCAGAGGGTGGATGGCCTGAGCTCGCTCTTCTCTGCAGTGGGAAAGCAGAAAAGAGGTCAGCCCTTGATCATGGGTGGAGGGGTGCCCTGAGGTCTTATAAGGCTTTTGAAATGAGAAAGTAACGTTTATTGCATGGTTCGGGCATTCCAGGTACTGCACTGAGCGGTATATACCGACTGTCTTATTTTAATTCTCACACCAGTGCTTGCTAGGGAGGGGTTGGTATCTCCATCCTATAGATGGGGAAACTGAGGCTTAGAGAGGTTGAGTAACTTGTGCAGGTTCACCTAGCTAGTAAATGTTGGCCCTGGGATCTACACCCAGGATGCGGACCTTCGTCTCCCTGGCTCTAGACCACACACTCTTCTGGTGGAGAATGCAAAGGCCCACGCTCCAGGAAGCAGGGTGGGGGCAGCTCCTGGATACATCCTCTGCTGTCTTGCTCTGTCCTCGGTGTCCGCACCCTTCTGCCCCCTGTGGCCATGGTCCCCTGGTCGCAGAGCTAGTCATGCTCAGAGTGTGTTTGTGAGTTGGGGTGTGTGTGTGTTTGCGGGGGCAGGTTGGAGGGAGGGGTGTTCCCAAGCTGCTTCTCTGTTGTGTCTGGGGCCCAGGGCCCAAAGAGAAGGCCTCACTGTTCCTCTCTCCTTTGCCTTCCCTTTCTCCCTGCCCAGGGTTTGATATGACACCCAACTACGTGGACTCCAGCCCCACTGGCATCGTGGTGTCCCCCTGGTGCAGTTGTCGTGGGAGTGGGAACATGGAGGAGGAGTGTGAGAAGTTCCTCAGGGACTTCACTGAGAACCCGTGCCTCCGTAAGTCCTACCAGCTCCTCCCTGTGCCCCTTGAGTCCCAGAGGGGCCCTTCACAGCTACCTTAGCCATCCCCTTCTTTCTCCGCCGGGATGCTCAGTGGGATATATGGGGCTTCCCCAGCAACCTACAGAGACCTTGGGTTTTGTGCTCTTGGAGACTCCATCCTCCTGAATGGTCAGTAGGCCAGCCTCAGTTTACCACTGGGGGTCTTGAACCTATGTCAAGTCAGGGTCAAAAGTTTCTGGTCTGTTATCCTGACAGCTTCAGCCAGGTTCCTTCTCGGCATTTGTCACTTGTCCCTTTAAGGATCCATTCCCCCTTAGAATTGGTGAGTTTCTTTTCAAGTCTTCGGACTGCTATTCAAAAGGCTACAGAGGTGGGCTACAAGTCCCGCCTGCCTTGATCTGCTCAATCTCCCACCCACTTGAAAATCTCCTTCCTCCCTCCTTCTGTCCTTTCTTTCTTCACTCCATCAGTCCATCCTCCCTTTCTTTATAGCACTGGGGATTCAGAGAGATGAGTCACAGTGCCTGTCATTGAGAAGCTCACAGTCTCATGGAGGTACACCATCAGGGGGTCACTATGATCACAGGATGGGGTGAATGCTAGATGCTAGGGTGGAGGTCTGCACCGGGCTCTTCAGGAGCCCAGACCGGTGATACCAGTCAGCCCAGAGAAGAAGGCCCTGGAAGCTTCTCAGAAGCTGGCGCATTGAGGGACAGTGGGCATCTGTCAGCTGACGAGGCAGGGAGGGCATGCCAGTCCACCTTCGGCAGAGGTGGTTTATAGGAACTGCAGACCACTTAGTCTTGCTAGAGAGTGTGAGGATGCCCGGAGCTACCTGGAGAGGGAGGGAGAGTCCTCCTCACGAAGGGCCTTGCAGTCCTAAAGGTGTTAGGATCTTGTGGTCCTGCATGTGGTGGAGATGGTGGTGCAGGCCACTGAAGGGGCGTCAGCAAGTGGCACTGTGCCGGACCCGCATTGCAGAAGGCCCACTCTCTGGTTCTGGTGTGGAGGGGTGGGGATGTGGTTCTGACAGGTGACCCAATACACGTCTGCTCAGAGGGCAGAGGCCTGCTCACGGAGAGGACAGTGTGATTGAAGCAGAGCAGTGGCGGGGAGGGGCGAGGGGAGATGGAGTGGACAGATCTTTAGGAGGTGGGTTTCACCAGTGGCAAGTGGGCGGTCAGGGAGGCACAGTGTGGGACCTGGGTGGGAGAGTTGGCCCCTCCAAGACTGTTCACGTGGCCAGAAAGCGGTGATGCTACGGGAAGGAGCGATGCCTAGTTGGGGCGTAGGCATGATGACCTTGAGGTGCGTCTTGGACTTGGAGGTGGAGATGTCTGGAGGCACTTTGTTCCAGGGTCAAGTCTTAGGGACAGTTTTGTCCGAAAGGCCCCATTATATAGTCCTCAGTGCATTGGTGCTAAGGGTGTGGGAGTGGGTGAGGCCATGCTGGGAGGAGGGCTGAGTCGGGGGCTCCTGGAACGCCAGCAGTGGAACCTGGAGCCAGGAGAACCTGTGCAGGAGCCAAGCGGGGCTTGGGGGGTGGGGGATCGGTATGGGGGAGTGGTCCGCGGCACCGGGTGCCCCAGGCCCAGCCTGCTGCCTCCTTCCAGGCTCCCCATATCCACTGCCCCTGTTCCCTTCCTCTTCCACATTTCTTTCTCTTGTGGTTTCTTTGTCTTCTCCAACCTCCCTTTTGCTGTTTTATTTTCTACATGTGAGATGTCAGTAGTGTCTGAGAAGGAGCTCTGGAGAAGTTAAGTTAGGACAAGCCACAGCCTGTCCCCAGCTCTGGGTTGTTCCAGAGAAGGCGGCCTTGGGATGTGAGGGGCAGCCCCCGAGTTCTCTGCGCCTACCTGCTCTCTCCCCCCACAGGGAATGCCATCCAGGCCTTTGGCAACGGCACAGATGTGAACCTGTCCCCTAAGAGCCCCTCATTCCAGGCCACACAGGCCCCTCGGGTGGAGAAAACACCTTCTTTGCCAGATGACCTCAGCGATAGCACCAGCCTGGGGACCAGCGTCATCACCACCTGCACATCTGTCCAGGTGAGGAGACGTGGCTCTGCAGCTGGGGGAAAGGAGCCGGGGGCAGGCTGAGGGCCTAGAGAAACACCATGACACCAGAGGTGGGGGTGGGACATTAGCAAACCGGGGGCCAGGGACCGGGTGCGAGAGTTCCTTCCTTTGGGTCGGGACCCTGAGGCAGGGAGGAGCTGTTGGGGGCTAGTTTTCTGTGTAGACGTTCCCTGGGCATTCACCTTACAAGCGTGAAGCACCTGTCCTATCAGAGGATTGTGCTAGATGCCATGGGGCTCCAGAGAAATGTAAGCGTTACCATTACAAACCATCTGCTAATTACCAGGTGTTGTGCTAGCAGATTCTCTACCTCTTTCATTGCATTTTCACACAGTGAGGTGTTGGTCTCCTTGTTTTACTCACGGGAAACTGGCCCAGGAGGGTTGGGCAGCATACCCAAGGTCACACAGCTGGTTAGTGGTAGAATGAGATTTCAAACCTATGTCAGACTCCAGAACCCATGATGCTCATTGGTTTGTCCATCTGTCCATCCATGCATCCACCCAGCATGTGTTATGTATGCATCGTGTGCCAGGATGAACGTGAGGTGCAAGGGAGACACTGGTGAATGAAACGGACACAGTCCTGGGTTTTGTGGCCCTTATGGTCTTGTCTGGGGCCAAACAAATCAACGAGCATCAGGCATGGGCTGTGGTCAGTACCACAACAGGGGACACGTGTGGCACCGTGGGGGGGCACGTCACAGGGCTCCCCACTCAGCCTTTCTCCCTGCTGCTGACCGCCCTCAGGCATTCCTGCCAGTGGCTACGTAGATGCTTTGCTTAGGAGGTTCGTTCTAGTCAGAACACACGCATCCATACTCACGGACACTCACACAACACACCCACACACTGTCACACACACACTCAACTCACTTCTCCGACGCTCAACTCACGTATACACGTTCTCGCCCGCATACACATACACGCACAGACATACACTTTCTTTCACACACACACCCCTAGAACAGAGTGCAAAAGAGGTCCTCATGCAGAATGTCAGCACAGAGGAAGGACATCAGTGAGATTGAGGGTGGTGGGGTACAGTGGGGGAGTCGGGCCCAGAGTTCCCAAGAAGGCTGGGGGGCTCTGAAGTACAGTCGGGCGGGGAGAGCAGGGCCTGGCTGTGAGGCAGTGAGGACACGGTCTGAGGGGGTGGCTGGCTCACGGCATCCACGGGGGGTGTACGGCCGTGAGACTAGCTGACGGTGACCTGCCGTGTACTTGAAATATGCTAAGCGAGTAAACCTTAGGTGTGCTCACCACAAAAAGGGAAAGAGAAGGCAAATGGTAAAGATGTGGAGAGATGGATATGTTGATTGGCTGTGAATATTTCACAGTATGCGTATATGTATCTTGGGTCATCAGGTTGTACCCTTTAAATATATACAATTTTTGATGGTCAGTTATTACCTCAGTAAAGCTGGAAAAACCCCAGTGCTAGGATGAGGACTTGATCAGGGACAGGGCCTGGGGGAGGCGTTCCGGTGCCCTGGGACCCATTGTACCATGGGAGCAGGTGCGGGTGCCCGTCCTGGTTGGGAAGCCCACCCCCCCTTCCCTCCTGGTGGGCCCCTCTGTGCTGTAACAGCTGACCTCCAAGTACCCTCGTGTCGGACTCAGGGTGGGCCCTCCCGTGCCCTGCACCCCTCCATGAGGTCACCCCTCTGGATCTGCGCTGAGGTGTTTCTTTCACCCTTGGGCAGCTCCTAATTACACTAGCCATGCGTGAGTGGCTGCCAGCGGGGGCTCGGGGCCTGCTGCACAAGTACACCTCAATTTCATGCTAGAGTGCTGGGCAGCTCGTTGGTCAGGGCTGGACTCCCTGTCAGGTGACCAGGCGCTGCCCTGGCCCCCATGTCCTGAGTCCCTCGGGGCCGGCTTACACGGGGAGATGTGACTCAGCAGGTGGCTGCTGAGCTTTTCCAGGACGCTTGCTGTGACTCACTGTGGGTGTGGAAGAGTTCAAGGCCGTGGCCTCCTGCCCCCACTGCAGCCTGCTCAGGGCCTGATGGCTG